CATAACGGCATTTCAAACATGATTGGAAGTAAGGCAAAAATTTAGCCACATGGAATGAAGATACCAGAATCACAAGGCCAAGAATAATGAAACGCGTATAACTGTAGTCCCCACATCAACATAATCTTACACAGTTCCTGGAAATAATTTTTTTCACTCGATATCAGAAGATTAATGTTGTTATTCCTGTCAGAGTTAATCGCTCAACACGTAAAGCGTAAGAACTACTGTGCATCGGCATGAAGTTGAGCTGTCTGTCAATCCATTTGCCTTTTATCCTACATGGGTAGATAAATAAGTACCATACCACTTCGAGAGAAAGAAACAGGAGACTACGCGTCATAACATTCACCTAGCTCTAGAAACAGCCTTAAAAAACAACATAATACTCCTTATTAATGAAACAAAAAATGATGATCTCCTTCATAAAAGAACAGTGTCACAAATAGCACTCAATTATAAAAGTATAAGGGAGAGTGATTTTCAAGCGCTTAAACTCTACCTTCTTTTCTTCATGACATATGACTTCCGATAAGTCAGGCTTTGCACTCAGAAGAGCATCAGAATAGGCTGCATTCATTCTTCATTTCTTAACTATACGCAACTATTGTTACATTACTCTCCTACATCTTCTAAGGCGAAGTCTGACTTCATTACTTGACATCACTTCATCACTCTTAGCTCTACTCTTCCGATTGACAATCGATTCGCGTCGTCATCGATCCAAGAAACTCATGACCATTTCAGTGCATGCTTGCTTTAAACAAGTCATATGTTCCGCTCCTCCTGCACGGCCACAGCCTGTTACAACGAAAACGCCATATTTACATTCATCATTAAACTTAATGATCAGGTTTTCATTGGCTTAAGAAATGCCCATCACCTGTGAAACAAAGAACGTTAGGTTTACAAATATCTCCGAGAAACTGCAACACGCAGCACTGCGTGCATGAAGTTAAAAGCGCAGAATCATGGCACTGGTTCCCTCGAAACAAACACTGTCACAGGCAGAACACTAACATCGGTTTGAAATCTTGGTGAAAACGTACCTCGAAAGCAAAAGTCCTCTAATGGCCAAAACAGAACCGGCAACCATTGTCCAATGGGCCTCGAGAAAATTCACAGGAATTCCCTGCGCTGCATCAGGGTCCAATGGTGTCTCAACGCATCAACGTTTGGAATATACCAGCAGTGCTGAAGCCACTAATGCAATAAAACGTAAATATGTAAACCTTCCCAAGTCGAGACTTCAATAAGTTAACAGCTATGCTGCGTATTCTGCCAGTAATAACTCATCCGCATTTG